TGCTTACCCAGGTTAATGGAACAGTATGAGTGTCCTGAATCAAGTGATGGAACTGTTCTTATTGCATGTCTTCTTATTCAGGCCAATTCACAATTCAGACACCTCACATATAAAGGCCAATGAAAAATTCAGCCACGTGAGTCAGGCTACTCGTAGTCACGCCACTAGCTAGGACTAATACAGTCCGCCACTTGAGTCAGGAAACATTCGTAAATTTAAATGAAGAAACCAAAACTTATATTAGTAAAATGAAATGGGACTTAAATACTCAGTTCTTAAATTAAATTCTGTTGTTACCTGGGGAATACCTGCTTGTTGATTGCGGGTGATGACATTCTCTAAATTTTGGGTTGTGTTGTAAGGCCAACGGCACAGATGAAAACCAAGTGACCAATAGGTTGGAAGCAAAGGACGTCCAACAGCCTGTTGAAAAGAAGAAAAAAAATATTTCTTTGAATTTATATTATATATAAAAATGAATTCCTCAACGCTTTTTTTATTATTCAGAACTTGTCTGTTAGAGAAGACATTAGATCAGCATTTCTCAAAGCATTTGTTCGTGCGCAACCCTTGAAATACTTTGCATGTCGCAGGGAACCGCTAAATAAAACTGTATACCATTATTAATATACATATCTTTTATTTTTACTGCATACCATTATTAATATACATATCTTTTATTTTTTACTGTATACCATTATTAATATACATATCTTTTTTATTTTTTACTGTATACCATTATTAATATACATATCTTTTATTTTTACTGCATACCATTATTAATATACATATCTTTTATTTTTTACTGTATACCATTATTAATATACATATCTTTTATTTTTTACTGTATACCATTATTAATATACATATCTTTTATTTTTACTGCATACCATTATTAATATACATATCTTTTATTTTTTACTGTATACTGTTATTAATATACATATATTTTATTTTTTACTGTATACCATTATTAATATACATATCTTTTATATTTGTATTGTAGTTCATGTGGTAAACATAATACATGGTGAGGCAAATGTCGCTCACCATATGGATCATTTATTAAAAGTATAATTACATATGAAAATGTTATTTGCTTATTTCACTGTTCGTCCTCCTTTTTCAAAACACATTTCCATTCTGTGACTGCCTGATTCATTAACACGTCGAAGAGTTTCCTCTGTCATTTGACTGAATTCATATTTAATTCTGTCTTTAAATTCCTCAATGTTTCTTGGCCGCGTCTGGATCTCTTCGACCATCCATTAACATTTATGGTGCGTCACTTTCACCATATATATATATATATATATATATATATATATATATATATATATATATATATATATATATATTAAGAGAAATGCTTTAATGAAAAAAAACTTATCTGTCAATTTTTTAAATACTGTACCACATTATCCATTAAAATGTCAATGTCGTATCCACATAAATTATCGTAAAATTTTCGCGGTTTAAAATTGCAAATACTAGTGTTTTAATATATTTATTGTTTATACGTTATTTCTATTGATCCAAATATTTAAGTAAAGTTTCTGTTTATAATTAACTGTATTAGCAACACTTACCGTCCTGAATGTCCGAAAAATTTCATAGAAAATATGTTCTCCGAAGCGTCTGTTTAGCAAGATTGAATTACTGCATTTAAATCATGGGAAATTTGTAGTTTAAAAGCAGTAATACGACCTTGACAACCAAATTCTTCCTCTGTAGCTAAATTGTATAGCACATCAGGCTATATAACAGTTCCGTGTAGGATACAGGTTCGATTCTTGCCGGAGAACCCATTTTTTTCTATGAAATTTCTCGGACATTCAGGCCGGTAAATGTAGTTAATACTGTTTATTGTAAACAGAGCATTTACTTAAAGATTTGTATCTATAAAAATAACGTAGAAATATAAAATACCGGTGTACAGTATTTATGCAGCGATGTAATTATATGTTGTTTTTTTACATATATGGTTTCTATATTTCCTGGAATGTTTGAACGTTTCAAACAAGGTACTTTGTGCCAACAAATGGAAAATATGAAATACAACCTTACAGCATGTTAATTATAAGCCCCATCTTCAAGTTGAATAAAATTCAAGGAGATTATAATTAAGATAATAGTTTGGCCTTTGTTGTTAAATCAATGTTATCAAAACATGATAGCTGTTGTGTATTCTCTTTATTAATATTTATAATCAATTTTTTTGAATTTCTTGTCTGAAACAAAATACCTCCAATGAGGCTGACTCCTAAAGAACAAATATGGCCGACATATCAAATACCTTTTGTAAACAATTTTTATCAACAGCTGCCTACTTTTTGTTATCTTGTTATCTATTCTGCTAAGTATAATTGCAATGTTCCTGTTTCAAATAAGATTTTACGGTGAGATGCGTAAGTAGAAAATACTCGGTTCTTGGTCTAGGAGGAGAAAACCTCTGAATTCAAATTATCCCAAGCCTAACCATCTCCAGGCCGGTTTTGAATACTGAGTTTTAACCTTCTCCTAGACAGGTTTCCACCCAAAGCTATAGAACCCAGTCTGTCATGCCATTTACCCATAGCTGGGGGATATCATATAGACATCGCTAAATACCACCCGTATGATTGTTATAATTTTAAGTAATATAAACGGTTGATGACTATTATAATTACCAAAGACTTTCCAACAATGTGCCGTACGTATATAGTAAAATTACTAACATAAAGTTAAACAAAAATTATTACTAAATGCATTAGCCTATTTTTCACTATTTCACAGGAAAACTCTAACGATCTCGGGCGGAACACTAGAATACCTGGAAACATTAGACTAATCCAGAATAAAAAAAAGTAACTGTTTCATATTTATTACAAATTTCAAAGGGAAACAATAAAACAGATCTAAAACGACGGTTCTCTTCTCTTCTTTTTTAACAAGGACGTAAGGGGTTACAGATTTGGAGCCAGATCAGATAGGAGAGACAGAGGAAAGGATGAGGAGAAGTGTAGTGAATAGATCAAGGCAACTGGAGATGTCGATTGACATTACATTTGAATAGTTGGAGATTATAGCTCTCAGGAAAACTGGAATAGGGAAGGGAGTTCCACAGGCGAGAGGTACGAGACATGAAGCTATTGGAGTAGAAGAGACGGCTACAATTAGAAGTTTCGACAGTGAAAGGGTGAGAGCGGGATGCCAGCCTCGTAGGGCGCTTGAACTCATGACGTCTGGGAACCAGCGAATGCAGCTCCTCGGAGCAATTACCATGAAAGTATTTGTAAAAAAGACAGAAAGAGGCGACGGCGCGTCTGTGAGAGAGTGACTGTAGACGAGATGCCAGAACAGGGCCAATTATTTATGCCATTAAAGTAAATTTATGTATCCATGATAAGGATTAACTAGATCCCAAATAAGGTGTAGCACAAGAATCTATTTGAACTGTTCGGGAAACTTTATTTATTTCGGAAGGACGTTGCTATAATTCAAAACTTATACTGGAAGCAAATTGCATGTATGCAGATAGAAATGTAAGTCAAAAACAAATAACAGAAGTGGGTACAACAAGAATGCATCTGCTCAGGGTACTTATTAAACCTCTCCATCTAGACGAAAGAACTAGAAGTCTTACCAGGATTTGTTATCGGTGAGAACAATTTTAATAATATATGGTGACACCGTGTTGATAGGAGATACAAAAGAAAAACGACGTAAAAGTAAAGCAATTCGCATAAATATAAATATGTAATTTAAGTATATTTAATATTAATTGTTTTGACAAAGGACTGCTTTTGAATAACGAAGGCTGCATATCAAAAGCTAAGAAAGAGTAAAAAAATGAATTGTTAGACAAAAAGAAAAGAGCTATATAATAACACTTTTCAATCAATATCATGCTATATAATATCACTTTTCAATCAATATAAGGCTATATAATATCAATTGTCAATCAATATAATGCTATATAATATCAATTTTCAATCAATATAAGGCTATATAAAATCAATTTTCAATTAATAGAAGGCTATATAATATCAATATAATGCTATATAATATCAATTGCCAATCAATATAATGCTATATAATATCAATTTTCAATCAATATAAGGCTATATAATATCAATTTTCAATCAATATAAGGCTATATCATATCAATTTTCAATCAATATAATGCTATATAATATCAGCTTTCAATCATTATAATGCTATATAATATCAATTTTCCTATATAATAAGAATAGGCTAAAGCTACATGCCTTTGAATCACCGGTTTCCGTTCTCTGATTAACAATTCCGACTCATTATGCACCCTTGTGCAAATTAATTATTGAGGAAGATGTGGAGGGCCATGATCACCTACACCCTTGTGCAAATTAATTATTGAGGAAGATGTGGAGGGCCATGATCACCTACACCCTTGTGCAAATTAATTGAAACAAAACGAATAATTCCGTTTTTATTTATGTTTTTTCCTTATTTTTCTAATGAAACATGCCCCAGTGCACATGTTAATACTTCGTATGTCCATTCCACGAAGTCGTTCCTTGCAGATTGATCACAGATTCTCGATTGGATATAAATCAGGAAAGTTTTCAGACCAGTCTTATGCTCTGATATGCATACTGGTAAAATCCGTCAGTGTGTTCGTGCAGCGTCACAATTTTCGTACGCTTTCTTGGATTAATGTCCATCGCAGACAATGGCCAAAGGACAACTAATCGACAGTCGAGACAATAGTGTCTGGGCGTGATGAAAATCTGAGGGATTCAAAAATGATTCAATATTTTTCAAAGCCAAACAATTTTCATCATACACTCTGAACACATATTCATATTACTGCACACCACTGCAAATGACCTAGTCTGAGGAAAAATAGAAATCGATTACACCCTGTTACTCGAGTGTGTCTAAAACTAAGCGTATGGTGAAAGACAGGAAACTAAAGCGGCTGTTTCGGTTAATTTGCACAGGCGTTTACATTACAGCAAAAGTGCATCCAAGCTTAAAGCACCAGGTATTCCCAAGTGGTTACCCATCTAAGTACTGACAATTCTCGACGTTACTTAACTTTGGTGGACGTACGGGAACCAATGTTTCAGCTTGATATGGCCGTAAGCCATGATGCGAGTCACAGATTTCATTTTACATGACATCACGGCAACAATGTCTTTCTCTTGTAAACATTCTTGCCGAGAAAAGTTTTGCGAACGCTTGAAAATGACAACTTGGCCACTTGTAGTCAAAACAACTCGACGTAAATACAATGTTAAGCAAAATCGGACATCAGCTTAAGAGTAACAAAGACATTTTTCTGCGAGTGCAGAAGTGTAACCGCCTCGAGACGAAGAATGAACGTCATTTGTGGTGGATTTCTTTTTCCTTTTTTTTTTCTTTCCTGTTTTCATTTGTTCATACGTTCCTTTTAACGTTTCAAACTAGAAAGAGACGTTACACTGGCTATCTTTTCTCTATCTGCTATATCTCATCGTGTCTCCACAGAATCGAATTCCTCCCCCCCTTCTCTCTCTCTCTCTCTCTCTCTCTCTCTCTCTCTCTCTTTCTCTGTATGTTTTAACGAGCACTTAAAGCAATCTACTTAAGTAAATTTATTGTGGATCGATTCAACGAACCTTTCTTTAGTCATATCAGAAACATTATTAGCAGTCACATGACCGGATGTGGTCGTAGGATCGTACCCTCCATATGCCTCAGTCTCTGTAAAAGATCTTCCGGTCTACTCAGTGACGTTGCCGGATCATTCATTTCTATGTCTACCGATTCTTAGTTTGACTAAGGCGACACCTTTTTGGATGACAGTGAAAAGATTATTCGTTACTTATCGGAAAACCGAATTTCTATTCTAATTGGGCTCGATACATTCACTTACGCACAAAGACCTTTAAGAAAGGTATGAAACTATCTTTTCTACCCCCAGTTATGGATTAAATAATAATAAGGCTCGTATCACAAAACAATTATTATCTGAAAACATTAAATAAAACTGCTTACAAAATAATTAAATTTCGGCATCAGTGGTTGATATGCGGCTAAACAAAAACAACTGACCAATAATTTTGACGGTGGGTATGAGCTCTTCCAATAGGCATTTTTTGTTTGATGGTGCCTCATACGCGGTCTACAAATGATTCAAATGCTATTTTTCGAGACATATTTTCCTCACTTGCAAGCTTGACGTGACACAGTTTTCTTACTTTCTTATATCTGACATTAAATATAAAAGGAACCAAAAATACACGCCTGACGCCTTTCGTGACAATGGTTGTTATTTTTTTGCCAGCTACCATTGTTTCTGTTCTGAAATATCTGGAACCGGCTTCGATGATAATCGAACCAAGATATTTGAAATGGCCCTCTAGTTTCTGACTTCCCATTTTTATCTTGCTTGAAAGCCATTTTGCATTGTTCATCATGTGCTGACATTGAATCTGACATCGAATATAAAAGACTCCAAAAATTCACCGCTGATGTCCTTTGAGACAATTGTGTGGTGGCTGTTATTTTTGTGATATCTGCTATTGCTTGTAATGCTTTTTTTAAATCATATTTATTTGAGGAGGTCCAGACAAGTTAACCGTTTAAATGTGTCAATGTCTGGACCTCCTCAAATAAATTTGAGTATGAAAGTATAGAAATTTTAAATTACATCTAACTCACTCATGTCTTCTCTCCACCCCCCCCTCACTTCCTCACTTCGTTAATTTACATATGTTTAATACGGCCCGTCAAAAATGTGTAAATTTTTTTTTCATTTTTTTGTTTCAACCTTTGGAAGTAAAGTCTGATGATCTGCAGTCCTTTAAAAGGGCTGTGGTGAAATAATTTCTTACATGGAACCTTAAAGTAGTTTGTTTTTATTTAAATTATTTGCTCTGGATTTACATTGAGCTCTCTGGATTTATCCACCTTGGGTTTACCCATACGGATTACCTACTTTTTCAAAAACTATATATATATATATATATATATATATATATATATATACAGTGCTATTCAATAAAAATGACTCACCTGATTTTTTTTACTAAATGTTCTCTTCTCCGATGAAACGAATGTTGAGCTAAATTCAAAGGATAAAGCGATCTAAAATCCGAAGAAGAAGCTTTGAAAGCTCTTTGAATTTAGCAGTAAGTACTGTCAAACATCCGTTCAGTATAATGTTCTGGGGATGCTTTTCTTTTCATGGAACTGGTTTCTTAAAACCTATTGAAAAAAGACACTCAGGATCAGTAAAAGAATTTTAAGTCTTGTCTGCTCCCTCTGCTGAAAGGGTGCAAATCGACCCCCACCAAGCTCATTTTAAACAGGATAATGCTCCCTGTCACAAATCGAAATTGATGAAGGAATACTTTGATGAGAAGCAGGTGAGTGTTATGACATGGCAGCCCCAATCTCCTCCTCAACCACATAGAAAACATATAGAGCATTATAAAAAGTACAGGCTCTCGATTGAGCAACATGCTCCAATTGTGAGGTCATAACTCACCTAGAGATTCCTTCCTAAAAATGATGGGGTCGATTTGCACCCTTTCAGCAGAAGGTAGCAGACAAGACTCTAAAATTCTCTTGTACTGCTCGCTCCTGAGGGTCTTTTCAATATGTTTTAAGAAACCAGTTCCATGAAAAGAAAAGCATCCCCAGAACATTATACTGAACGGATGCTTGACAGTACTTACTGCTAAATTCAATGAGCTTTCAAAGCTTCTTCTTCGGATTTTAGATGGCTTATCCTTTGAATTTAGCTCAACTTTCCTTTCATCGGAGAAGAGAACATTTAGTAAAAAAAAAAAGTCAGGTGAGTCACTTTTATCGAACAGCACTGTATATATAAATTTCCAAGAGGATAGAATCCAGGTAGAACTCAATGTCCAGGACAGAGTAAGAATAAAAGCAGATAAGAGAAATGGTGTGTCATCAGGAATAGTTGGACAAAGCAAGTAATATCTCCTACACACACACACACACACACACACATATATATATATATATATATATATATATATATATATATATATATAATAAATTAATTAATTAATAAATAAAGTTTACTAAATCTGAGAAATGACTTATCTAGTTTTGTAGTAAGTGCCATTAATATTACTTAAATAATATTTAAATTTAAAAGTTAAAAAAAAAAAAAAAAATTGTAATTTACATATACTTTGATATGGAAAAATAAATTTACTTACTATGAGTAATTTTCCTTCTGTTATAAAGAAATATAGTCTATTAAAACTAAACAATGAAAATATTTTAAAATTTTAACGTTGTAATTTTGAAATTGTAATTAAAATTGTAGTTAAATTGAATGAATTCTAACCTAAATTTCTTTTAAATAATACTACACGCATTAAAAAGAATTAAAAAAAAACACCTATAGTAAAATAAAATTAATATGAAATGCCATAAGATGTAAGCTTTTGAATGACCCATGTCCTTAGTACTTACATGAGAAACATTATAATACTAGGTTTATATATAAAATAAAAGTTTACTAAATCAGTGAAATTAAGTAACCATTTTTGCCGTCATAAAAAAAAATTTGAAAAAAAAAAAAAAAAAAAAGTAACCTCATATACATACTTAAACTTGATGTTAAAATAATCCTACATAATATAATGGATTCTAATACATTTAACTGTCCTTAAAAAGAATATAGTAAAATAATAATTAAAAAGTAGAATATTTCATATCGTAGTTAAATAAAAAGTATTAGGGAAAAAAAAAAAAAAACGAAAATCTTTAAATTTAAAAAATGACATTGAATTTTTTTTACCGTTAACAATTTTTTTAAAAAAGAAAAAAAAAAAAATTCAGACGACATCCATTCAACTGATGTCAGGTTTCATTGTAAAATACATCCCTACCCCTTAGCAAATTGTAGCTAATAACTGATACAATGATACTGACATAAGGAAAATCTAGACATCCCTTGTTCAATTTAAGTAGAATATTCTGTAACCATGGAAACGTGATTTTAGCTGTGTCTTTAAAACCCGGTAATTTTTAAAAGTTACTCCAAAATTCGCTTGAAGATGAAATGGAACTAATGCTTTTAATTTAATTGCAAAATTAAATTCGGGGTTTTTAGCTTCTATTTTTGAAACATGGTTGGAACTGTGTAGCGAAAAAAAACATATTTTAAATCAATTAATTTATAATATATATATATATATATATATATATATATATATATATAGTTACAGAGAACTCAGTAGAGTTCCGCCACGGAATATGTGAGCGAGCGGCGCTAGTTGAGTCTGATTAGGAATCTCTGCGTTACCGAGGCCCATTTGGTACAGTTGGTATGTTGTTCGCTTGCCAACCCAACTGGCAGGGTTTCGATACTTGGTGGAGGATGCGTACTGCTGATGAGTCCCAATTATAGGATGAAACGGCCGTCCAGTGCTTCCTCTATTTCCTGGTGAGGTTTCTATCAGACTCAATGAATCAATTAAATATATATATATATGGTTCCATTCTTTACATAAAGAGAGAGTGGTAAAACAATAGTTTTATAATTGAATTTTATTAACCTGAGTATATTCTTTAACGATATTTTCCGGCTTTGGTCCGAGGAAAATGTAGAAGTCGAAAATTCCACCAATTGTTCGGTATGTTACGGCAGGTGTCGGCAATGGTTGAAGTAATATATCTGTAAATAATCAAAATGATTCTTTCTTTATTGATAGAAAATTAGGTGACGTTTTTGAAATTTGTAAAAGTACAACGTTGCATATATCTTTCCATCATTTTCACGTTATATTAGAGTATATATATATATATATATATATATATATATATATATATATATATATACTCATTTCCCCCAAGCAAGTATGCAATGTCCCTAGTACGAGTTATAGAGAGTGAAACTGAAAGAAAAGACTGGGAATAGATTGAGGAAAGGACAAAAAATGAACGGATTTCAAGAAGACAGAAGGTAATTATAAAAGTGGACGTTGATGTCAATGCCCAGCGGCGGCAATCTGTTTTATGCTTAAAGCCATGACGATTGCGTATAAACAAAAAACAGACTGTCACCTCTGGTTGTTGACTTCAACGTCCACTTTTATATTTACATACGCTCTATTCCT